CAGATCCTTCTCCAGCTCTGTTCCCTTCCCTGGACACACTCCAGCCCCTCAATATCCTTCTTGTCCTGAGGGGTCCAAAGCTTGTCACCCCTGTGTCTCATAACCAGTTATGGTTAAAGACCAATTTCCCAGGGGCCCATGGCTGTGGTGTGGCAGAGCCCAGGCAGTGTGTGACCTCTCTGTCCCCTGCTGGCCGTGCTGCCCCTTTTATGCCTCAGCATCATGTGCTGGGTGAGTGTCAGCCCTGCACTATCCCCCAGCACCCACCAACTCCCAGCATCTGTGCCACTTGCTTGGCCTCTTTTCCTTTATGCTGCTCCCCTCCACCGTCGTGTGACAGCTATTGTGTGGTCCCTGCCACACAAAAGCCAGCCTGACCTAATTTAAATCAGTGCTATTGAAGCCGTTCTTGTTTTATCTCCCAGCACAAGGGCTGTGCTCCCCATTTCAGAGGCAGAAGAAATGAATGGCTAATTGGGGGGGTATTGTGCACGGCAGCGTTGTCTCCCGGCCCTGATTGTCAGCTCTCCTGCTCCACGGTGCTTCCAGCTCCCCTCTTGGAACAGCCACGCAGGCTTTGGGAGTGGAGGGAGGAAAAGGGGAGCTGCGGACTGTGCAGCGTATCAGGGAAACAAAGCCGAGCATGGCCGCTGGTGAGAGCTGGGGGAGGGCTCCTCGCTCACAAGGGGCAGACGCTGGTGATAATAGAAGAGAATACCCAGCCTTCACCTCCGGGGTCTTTTTTCACTTCCTCGTGCTCTAGGACCGTCCATGGGGAGCGGGTGAGGCACGGGGGGCTCCCACACCCAGTGGTGCCACACGGGTGGGAAGTGCTGGGAGCAGAGAAGTGGGAGAGGTCAGCGACTGGAAGGGAGAGCGCTGCGGGATCTTTGTCCTGCGGGCAAAGTTTGAGCCGTCCCTGACAAGGGATCTTTGTCAGAAAAGGCAGAGCATCCCCGGGAGCCATTCCAGCAAGCAGGAACCAGTGGGAAGAGGGGGTTTTGTGTGGGCCCCCAAAGACAGCGCTGCCCACGCCAGGATCATCACAAGCCCACGGCTCGATGTGTCCCAGGGCTCCCAGAACAGAACCAGGCACCGCCGCGATCCGGGCGGGTTTGGGAGCTCACCGACAGCACGACGCCTTTCATGGAATTCCTGCCTCTGCCTCCCACAGGTACCTTCCAAGAGCTTCCCTTCCTCCCTGGCGCTGTGTTCTGCAGCTCCTCTCCCCACCCATCGCCAGGCTGGAAGAGGCCTGCAGGAGAAAACAAAAGCCAAAGCGTTTGGGTCTGTCCGTGGATGCTTTTGGGTCCCTCACTGATCCACTTCCCCTGCTCGAGGGAGGGGACCTTGTCCCCAAATATTGATCAGCTCTGCCCCAGCACGCTCAGCTGATGCTCAGTGCAAAGGTTGTAACCAATCCCCTCTGCAGCTCTGCCAGCTGCAGGCAAAAAGGATTTCATTCCAGGATGCTTCACAACAACACGAAGCAAACAAGTCCCGAGACATCAGGTTTGTCACAGACTTGGATGTAACATGATAATCCTTATCATAAATCAGATCCGAATAAAGCACTGGCAAGCCCTGAAGTTTAAAGAACACATGACAACCTCTTCTCTAGCCCTTTTGGCCCCAAATAAAAAGATCAGCTACAAAATTATAAAATGAAATTGTAAAATTAAAAGTAGATTATTAAGAGCCAGTGTTATTGAAAGTGAGGTTCTTTTTGTTTTCATCTGGGTTTATGATTCATTTCTCCCTTCTAAGCTTTTCTCTGCAGCCAGCAGAGCATAAAATACACCTAAACAAAGAAAACAAAACAGGAAAACATAAGTCTCGTGTTACCACCTGATTCCAAGGGCTGAGGTTTTACCAAAAAGGGAAGGAATGCCATTAAGTAAGTTGTTAACATTGCATTAGGGTAAGAAGAACAAACTTAGAACTATCTGGGATTGTCAGCTCTTGACTGAGGGTGTTGAGGCCTGGGAATGGAATTCCCAGAGCAGCTGTGGCTGCCCCTGGATCCCTGGAATGTCCAAGGCCAGGCTGGACGGGATTTGGAACATCCTGGGACAGTGGAAGGTGCCCCTGCCATGGCAGGGGGTGCAATGAGATGAGATTTAAAGTTCTTCCAATTCAAACCAACCTGGAATCTTGTGAATCTGTGATCGCCAACAGGCCTGTCCTCGGGGGCTGTTCCTCTTCCAGGCCCTGTCCCCTGGGCCAGGCAGGTCCTGTCCCTCCCGGCGGCTCTCCAGGGAGCTCCACTCCCTTGTCGCCACTATTCTACCGACATCTGGTGGCAGCTGCCTTAGGGAAAAGAGACATTTCCTCAGCAGCGCCCTGCGCCCCCTCAGCGCGGACCTCCCTGTGGGGCTGTGTCGTCTCTGAGGGGACCCCCGAAACCCTGTCCGGGACACGCACCTCAGCCGCCTCCTGAGACCAGCGGGTCTCTGGGAACTCCAATTAGTCATTGATGACAATCACTGGGACTCCCGCGCGGCGCTTCTAAGGGTTTACGGGAGATTTATTCTGAGGTTGCCGTGAGGGAGGATAGCGTCCGCTCAGCCGCCATGGTGGCAACATGGGCCACCACCCGGCAAAGGCTCGCATGGCGGGTTTCCGTAGTGTAGCGGTTATCACGTTCGCCTCACACGCGAAAGGTCCCCGGTTCGATCCCGGGCGGAAACACCTGTTTTTTTTTCCTCATCCCGTGGTGGTTTTTTGTGCCGGTTTATTTGGGTTTGTGTTGGTTTTTTGGTTTTGTTTTTTTTTTTTTGTTCGGAAGGGCTTAAGGATTTTTTGGGGTTTTTAATTCTGAGTTATTTATTTATTTCCCCGCCGTCTCCTGACGACTCGTGGCCTCCGACTCAAGTTGGGAAGAGAAGTAACGGGAACCGTGCGCCCCATTGCTGACCAGCGCCCGCCTCCCGCCGGGGCTCAAGTGGGCAAAGCGCAGCCGGGCGGGCGCTCCGCGTGCCGGTGAATCTCAATTCGGTTCGGATCGGGAGGAACGGGGGAAAAAAAATAATACGAAGGGAAAAACAAAAACGAACTTGCGTTGGCCGGGAATCGAACCCGGGTCAACTGCTTGGAAGGCAGCTATGCTAACCACTATACCACCAACGCTCGTTGTCGGTGCTCTTCCCGCCTTCCCTCAGCAACATCACCAAGAGGGACCCAACCATTCTCCCGTGGTTGAAGGTGAAGCACAAAGTGAGATGAGAATGGCTCCACACCCGCCCCACAACGGCAATAAATGCTGAATTAGGACCCATTTCTGAAGGCGAGGGAGAATCTTCTCTCCGTGCTTTATTTACCCTGTATCAGCCTCAATTCTCTCTATGCACCCCACTCTCCCTGAAGACATTGCAACGGACTGCCCAGGGAGGCGGCAGACTCACCGACCCTGGAGGTGTTTAAGGACAGACTTAGCTCCATGGTCTGAACGACAAGGTGACTGTCGATCACAGCTTGGACTCGATGACCTCAGAGGTCTTTTCCAACACCTTATCTACTCTGTGTGATTTTGTAATACCGCCGTACTCCCACAGACATCATCCCCCCTCCAGAGTCAGTGGTTCCTCCCTCCCGCGCCGCCCGGGCGCGCTCCCGCCACGCGCGCGCGCGCGCTCCCGCCACTTCCGCCGCCGGGTGAGAGGTCGCGCCGTGGCCGCCACCGCCCCCGCGCCCCCGCGCCCCCGTTTCCGGGGCTGCCCCGCGCCCGGGACATGGAGCGGCACTGACGGAGCCGCCGCCGCCCCCTCCCTCCCCCGCCCTCCCTCCCGCGCAGGAGCCGCCCCCACCCCCGCCCGGCACGGGGAGGTCGCCGCGCCCCGCGGTGAGTGAGGAGGGGAGAAGGCGGGGGGGGGGAATGGCGGGGCCGGGGGGTCCCGCCCCGGTACGGGCAGGGCTGGGTGGGGTCCACGCCTGTGAGGGGAGGCTGGGCCGGGTGGGGAATGTTTGCCCGCTCCGTGGGCCGCATCCTCTCTGCGCTGGGCCGGGGGTGCCCGCGGGGCCGGGGGTGCCCGAGGGGCCGGGGTTTGTCCCTTTCCGTGCGCTGTGTCCCCCATAGGGATGGCGGCGGCACCGGGGGGCGATTGCTCGCCCGGGCTCGCCCCCCAGGCCTGGCCCTCGGGGGTCGTTGGCAGTTCAGTCCCCCCGTGTGCTGCCCATGGATGGGTTATGGGGGTGACCCCTGCCCTTGGAGGGGGTCCCGTGTCCCCCCAGCTCAGCCCCGGCGGGTGAGGGGCTGCTCGCCCCTCTGAAAGAGCCGCCTGCAGCACTGAGGGAGATGGGGAGCACAGGATGGATGCTCCATCCCCGGGGATTCCCCCTCTCCTGCTATCCCAAATCCCGGCCTTTCCTCTGCACCAAGGGCAGAGCTCCCGGCCGGAGCTGCAGAGGGACTCGGGCTGCTGGCAGCCTTTGCCAGAGCTCATTCCTCTCTGGAGAAATCCCCACTGGTTAATCCCACCCTCAGTTGCTTTAATTTTTGGAGATCTTAAAGCTCCCATCCACGATAGGGACGTGTTGTAAGGGCTCCTGTAGGTGACTCTGTTCTGTGTTCCATTGGCTCTTCCCGAATGATTCACGCTATTTCCTGATCTCTTTTGTCTATTTTGCTCAGCTGCTTTTTTTTTTTTTTTCCCTGGTTCAAGATTCTACTGTTCCTTCCTTGTGTGAAATGCGTGATCTGGGCTGGGTGCAAGGAGGGTTAAGATGTTCCTCAGAATCATTAAAATCACAGAACAGCCGAGCCTGGCAGGACCTCGGGAAGTCTCTGCTCCAACCCCGTGCTCAAGGCAGGGTCAGCTGGGAGATCAGACCAGGTTACTCAGCATTCCTGAGCATCGCTCCCACTGCCCTTCATGCCTGCACCAAAAACTGCCCTGAAATTGCTGAATGCAGCTGCTTCCTCCCTCTCTGCTCTCCCCTGCAGCCGAGGAGTTTCTTTGTGATGCTTTGTCTCTCCTGGTCCCCTGTGAGTGCGTTTTTTGGCTGTTAGGAGCCTCGACAGAAGGCAGTGGCGGGGTCTATATCTGTGATTCAGAGCTAAAGACCTTTGTACTTTGGGAGAGAAGACCTTGGGCAGAGAAGCACCTTTCTGTGTTGCTGGAGAACAGATTGGTGTGGGGAGCCAGGGCTCCTCGTGGCAGCAGGCTGGGGCAAGGGAAGCAGTATTCAGGCTTGGAAGATAAATGTGGTTTTTATGTCCCAGGTGGGACTGTGGCCCTCTGGCTGGTTCCTTATGGTGTGTCCTTTGTTTGGCTCTTCCCTCTAAGTGTATGGACCAGACCTCTGTTTTATCAGTTTTTAAGTACCTGATACTTGCGAGAATTCCAGGATTTTGGGAAGGGAGTAGCAGAAAGGTTCAGTACTCAAGATTCTTGGATTATAAGAAGAATTTTCTGGGAAAGAACAAGGCACACCACAGAGTTCCCTGAGCCTCATTGTTCAGATGAAGTCTCTCAGAATTATCAGGGCTGTTCAAATCCAGGCTGTGCTGACAGAACAGATTTGGAGCAAGGAATGAAACCCAAGGATTTATTTGTGCCTCCCCGCTCAGTTGGAAATGTGACCTATGGAAGATGCTTTTACCCAGCAGTTGTATGAAATCTCCTTTCTCCCCTCTTCCTCCCCAGTTTCCTGTCCTGCCCAGCTCTCTGAGTAGTTAATGCAGAAGATAAAGAGGGTTCGTCTGGAAAACGAGACTGCAGGAAGTTGGAGAAGGTACGTGCAGGTCCCTGTGTGGCCTCTGTGTGCTGTGAGACAGGGCAGCAATCACCTCTGGAGCTGGGACAAAGCAGCAATCACCTCTGCACTGAGAGGCTTCTGAGAAATCCCATCTGTACAGTCCTGCCCAGGGAGCTGTGTGTCAAGATTTGTGAGTCAGGAAGTGACTCAGGACAATAACTTGTTTCACTCACTTCCAATATCGAGCTTTACATTTTTTTCCGGGTTCTGATTTCCCACCTGTGCTTGTGGTCCCCTCCAGGCTAACACCTTCCCCCAGAGCAGGGCTTGGTGGCTCACCCACCTCACCTGACAGGGCACAAATGCCATTAAAAGGCCCCCCAAGGGGCAGCTCCATATTTTTGGGAGTGGAGAGAGCCGTGTTCCAGCAACAGCTCTGAGTCATCTCAGTCCCTGCCTCAGCGTGGGGCAGAAGGGACATGGCTTCAGCAAGGTGGAGATCTTCCATGTGCTATTGCTGCCTGTCTTAAGATGGTTAATAACTGGTGTCTTGATCCAGCTCACGTTTGAGTAATGTAATACCAAAATCTACTCTGAGATAAGTTACTCCTTGTACTTGTTTACTTACGTACAGTGTTGCCAAATACTGACTTTGTCTTTTTCCAGAGGTGGCTGTAGTGACAGAGGCAGAAATCTGAGTTTCCTTTTCCTCTGTATCATGCCAGGACCTAAGTTTTAGGGGGTTTTTTTCCCTTCTGGTGGGAGGTATCCTTGCCCATGGTTTGGAATTAGATGATCTTTAAGGTCACTTCCACATGGTAAAATCGTGGCAGGTTTGGAAGGGGCTCCAGGCTCCAGTTGAGCTGGGGACAGGTACCAGTATCACATTTGTAGACTGGTTTTAAAGGTTAAACTTTTTTGCTTGTGAAGAGCCAGCCTGGCTGAGATGGATTCATCAGCAAGGGCCAGGCTTTGTGAGCTGAAGCCAGAGTATTTAACTGGCTGAGTTGACCTGCAGTGGGATGGGGTTGGAGAATTGCACTCAGTTCATGGATTTTCATGATCTTCCTGTCATGTGTCTCTGACAGGCAGCACTTCTGCCTTCAGCTGTGATTTTAGCTGCTGCAGTGGAGAACCTGGGTGCAGGCAGAGGCCACAGACACACAGTCTTAGAACATCCCATCGTGTTCTCTTTTGTGGTTTCACTTGGGCTTCCTGCCTGCCTTTGACTGGAAAATACTCCTCTTTATGCATTTTCAAGCTGTGGATTTACTGCTGGGCAGTAGGTACCAGGAGTACCTACAGAATTATTTTGGGAGCTTGTGCCTGTGTTACTTTTGGCACATTTTGTACAATTTAGGGACTTAGGAGTCTGAGATGTTACATTTTCAGCCCTTGCACAAGGCTGATTCTGTCTCCTTGGGGCAAAATTCTCCAGGTTAATTTTTGCCCAGTAAACTGAAGTTCTTCTGAAATTCTCTGTAACATTCTTTCAGGTACCTCCAAAACCCCTCAAGTGTCCTCTTGGAGGGACATCCTCCTTCTCAAGTGAGGTGTCAGAAACAGGTTTCCCTAGTCCTCAGCTCATTCCTGCTTTGCAGTGGATGACATCACTGACCTTGGGCAAGTCTGTGGGTCCACCTCACCTCAATTAACATTTGTGTTAATGTGGAGGCGGTTCTTGTCCTCTCCTTCCACACCTGCTCACTGGGAAATCTCTGAGGAATGTGCTCACGTTTCTCAGGATACAGCCAGGGTCTTCTCCTGCTGCCTTCTCTCTCTTAGCAAAGCAGTTGCACTTTTTCTTCCTGTTTCCCCATCTCTATTACTTCATTCCTGGCCTCAGCATCTCCTCAGGTAAGTGAATTGCTGTCCTTGAGTTTGAACCTGTCTCCCCAAGCCATGGCAGGTTTTCCTTTGGGATAGGAAGGGGATTCCACATCTGTGGTCTCACACAGGGCAGGAGTTTATGTGCCTTTATGATAGGTCATAGCTTTGATGACATTTCCGTCCGAATTCCTGGAGTGGTTTTCCTTTGAGTCAAGCTGCTTGTTGTCTGCAGCAGAATCTGCTGCTTGTGCTTCCTTTAAGAGCTTATTCCTAGAGCCAGCCCTGGGAGAGGGGAGTTTGCTGAGGTCAATATCTTCATTTGCAGGATTCCATATGGGATGGGAGATGGACTTTTCCTTTCAATATGTTTGAAATGTAATCTTTGAGTGTAGAGAATCCCGGGATCTGTAGTTTAAGGAGAGCCTGCTTGATTTTTAGGTTTAATTCTGTCCCTCTACTCCTCCCTCAGTTTTTTGCCCAGTTCTGAAGGGGAAGCGAGGATGACTGCAGTGGACACGCTCTCGGACAGCTCTGAAGTGGTCGAGATGGAGGATGTGCCTTCCCAATTCCAGGTGCAAAAGCATTCTTGGGATGGGCTGCGTGACATAATTCACAGCAGCAGGAAGTACTCGGGCATGATAGTGAACAAAGCTCCCCATGATTTCCAGTTTGTCCGGAAAACTGAGGAGTCCAGCCCGCACTCTCACCGCCTCTATTACCTGGGTAAGCCTCGTGCCAGCATCCTGGGGAACCTGGGGGCTCTTCAAACCCAGCAGGCAAAGGAAGGAGTGGGAGGGGTGTCCCTTTGTGACATGGGGCAGCTGAGATTGGGTAACGTGGCTCAGGGCTTGCAGGATCTTCTGCAGAACCTGGGACTGAGCAGGGATTCCCCAGTCCCAGACGAGCCTCAAGCACAGGGATCAGCTGTGACAGGGGGAGTGTTGGCCAGCCAGCACTTCTGTCACACAGGGGATGGGGCAGAAGGGACTATCTTGTGCCTCTGTAGCTTGGGAGAAATGGGATTTACTTTCTTCTTTAACCAGACTGACTTTCCAAGAAATTTGCTGTCAGTAATGACTAATTATGTGTTGCAACATAGTAATGGCAGGGTGGTGGTGTCTCCTGCTTTATTAAGTGTCATGAAGGTAGGATTCTTTCAAGATCAGGGAAGAAAATTGTGGTGGGAGTGAGCTGTTCTTGGCATTTTCAGGGAAATATCCCTTTCCTTCAGTGGGACTGAAAGCAGAATTCTGTGTTGTACAGGTCCCTTGTTCCAGATGGAGCCACGATGTAATTAGTGACAGAGTTGTTGGATTTTAGGAACTGGATAATTTTGTGGCTGGTAACATGAGAAGCTTTATAGACTATAAAGAGTTTGTTGTGCTTTGGGGCATGAGCTGATCATTACTGGGCCAGTACAAAAATTACCAGATGTGCAGTGACTGCTGCCCTGAAGTGACCCTGCTGCTCTTCCTTCTTTTTCCAGGTTTGGAGTGTAGGTCACTGTAGGATGCTGGATTTGAGGGACTGATTTGTTTTGTCATTAAGCAGCTCCTGTGTGCCAGTGACTTGATTTGTGACTTTGATTTGTGTGGTTCTCATAAATTCTTGGGACACAAGTGCTGCTCTGAAGGGCAGGATCCAGAGCTGGCATATTTTTCTTGTCGAGTCTGAGCAGTGAGGCTTGATTTAGAGCTGAATGTATTTCCAGTTCACTTTGATACTGGTTTTGATCTAGATGATTAAAGAACTAAGTGGTTAATTTTAAATTTTTTTAATGTTCTGTTGTATGAAATGGCAACCAAACCAGCTACTGGGTGGTTGGTGTTCTGCCAGGGTGTGACTGTTCCAGGAGCCAGAACCAGGAATGAGGATACACGAGTGCCTTTTCAGTGTTTCCTTCCTTAAGGAATTGCACAGGGCTTAGAGCAGATTAATCCCTCAGTTAAGATCAGCATCAGCCAGGTAATCCCAGGGTACCTGTTCTCAGATGTCCCTGATAAAAGGTAAATGCTGATTCTTTTGCCATAATAATGGACACTCCCAGGGATGGGGCAGCCACAGCTTCTCTGCAAGTTCACAAGTGTTTAACTCAGTGTGCTGGTACTGCCCCAGCATTAAATAACATTTCTAAAGTGTTTAATTTAAACTGAGGAGTGGATGGAGACTCCTGATGAACTTTGCTGTAGGCTTGAGTATTTCATTTGGAAGCAAAAGTAAACTGTCTTTTGGGGAGGAAGGCAACATTTTCCTTGTAAATGCCAATTGATTGTAGTCAGCCTGAGGTCATTGGAGAAAGTTCTAACAGAAGGGGAAGTCCAGGTCACAGTGCCTGGGTGTCAGATATGTGTGTCCAGAGTCATTTGTTCCTCTCTGCAGTTTTTCCTCTATGGCCATCTTCAATCATTCCTGGGCCATCCCCCCTGAGTTTTCTGTTGTATCGTGGCAGATGCTGCTTATGTTAAACACCACATGCTCAGCACTTTGGTGTTCCTGAATCTCTGAGGATTAGATCCTCACATATTGCTCTGCTTCCCGAGCACTTATTAATATTTCAGTTTTAATTTGAAGTAACTACTGCTGGGTCAGCCAGCTCAGAAATCTCTCTGTTCTGCCCAGAACATGTGCAGAGTAGGCAGTATCAGGGCACATATCCCTGTGTGAATTTCTGATCCAGGGAGTCTCTGTAGCATAAGCAGAGGGCAAGTTCATGGTCTTTGTTTTTGTGGAAACTGTCAAAATCACACGTCAGGATATTTGATGGTTGTTTTGGAAGTTGGATGAAGGCCAGGAGCTGATTTGGTAACCACAGTCAAAGGCTTATGTAAAATGACAAGGTCTTTTGACTCTGTAGGATACTGTTTCACATTTGAATGGGCTCTCTGGAGCTTCCAAGCTTTTCCTTCCCCCTCCTTGCAAGCTGCTTCCTTGGCCTGAAGGAGGTCCCTGTAGCAAATTTCTGTATGAGAGATGTGGAGAGGAACATTGAGTCACCCGTTCAGGGAGTGGTGCTCTTGGAGTGGATCTGGGGCACGGAGAACAGGCACAGGGGGGGGAAAATTGGACCTAATACATTCTGGAGAGGTGGGGTAGTGTTAAATCCTGCTTAGGAAAATTCCAAACAAATCAATATCTAAGTGGTTTAGATGTTATTCTGGGTTTGATCTGGGAGCTCCTTGGGAAGGAATGTGGGTAAAGCTCTCTGGGCAGCCCCAGCCCCTCTGTTTCCAGACTTCTCTTTGAATTTGCCTGTGGACCTCTTTGTCCTGGCTAACTCGTGTTAAGTAGGATGATGTTTTTGTCCTCCTAATAGGAATGCCATATGGTAGCAGAGAGAATTCCCTCCTTTACTCAGAGATTCCCAAAAAGGTACGGAAGGAGGCCTTGCTGCTCTTGTCCTGGAAACAGATGCTGGATCACTTTCAGGTAAGGCAGAGTGGGGAGAGCCTGGACTGTCAGTGCCTGGGAAAGTGGGTGATGCTGTGGGGCTGCTGTGGTGGGGATATCTGTGTGGTGCCTGTCATCCTTCCTGCTTTTGAAAAGTTGGGAAAGTTGAGTTTAAATTGCTGCTTCTGCCTTACACTGCTGTGAGTGCCCCAGAAAGGGAGGGAATTTTCCCCTCCCTGGTTTCAGTACCTTCATGTCCTTTGTCACTGACAGCACTGGAGGGTGTTGCTCTTTTCTCTCCTACTTCAAAAGTTCCTGGTGGAACAGAATTGTCTTGACCCCATTTGTGCTGCCAGTTCTCTCCAGGGTAATTCAAGATCCCGGAAGAACTTTTGTTTGCAGTGTCTGACATGGAAACTGTTTGTGAAGGCTGCAGATAACGTCATTAAGTTAATTGCTTACATCTGATTTGCATAAGCAGAGCAAGTGCAGCTGTTCTCAGTTCATGCTGAAGTGCCAACTGCAGAACTGAGAGAGTCACAGCTCAGCCCTCCTGTACAGGGAAATTTGGGGGGTGTGGTGGGTTCAGGTCTCCTGGACCCCACAGCTGTAGCCTGGAGTGTAGGAATTGGGGACCTGTACCCTGACACTGCTGCCTGTTTGAGCTGGGCTGTTGTGACAGCCTCAGAGCACTCCTGTGAGCATTCCTCTCCTTGCAAATCCTTTCAGATGTTCCTTCCTTTCAATTCCAGGCAACCCCTCACCACGGGATGTATTCCAGAGAGGAGGAGCTCCTGAGGGAGCGCAAGAGGCTGGGTGTCTTTGGGATAACATCTTATGATTTCCACAGTGAGAGTGGCCTGTTCCTCTTCCAGGCCAGCAACAGCCTCTTCCATTGTCGAGATGGGGGCAAGAATGGGTTCATGGTGAGTCTGCCAGGGATTTCATGGACATCACCTCAAAGGGGCTTGGTGGTTTGGACTGGAGATGGCTGGATTGGGGTGGAAGGGACCTTAAAGCCCATCCCAGTGTCACCCCCTGCCATGGGCAGGGACAGCTCCCACTATCCCAGGGTGCTCCAAGCCCTGTCCAGCCTGGCCTTGGGCACTGCCAGGGATCCAGGGGCAGCCACAGCTGCTCTGGGCACCCTGTGCCAGCCCTGCCCACCCTCACAGGAGGATGCACTTCATGCACTGCAAGGGGCTCTGAGGTCTCCCCAGATCCTTCTCTTCTCCAGTGAACACTCCCAGCTCTCCCAGCTTGGCTCTAAAGGGGCTCCAGCCCTTGGAGCATCTCTGTGGCTCCTCTGGACCTGCTCCACATCTTCCACATCTTCATCCATTTGGTGGTGGCTCTTGTATCCTGTCAGGCCCATTTGCCATCATCCCCTGGGCTGTGCAGTGTCTCTGGTTTAGGTTTTTTTCTCTGCAGAGCTGGGAGCTGATGTGACACCCACCTCTGTGTGTGTCTCTTGCTGTAGGTGTCTCCAATGAAGCCTCTGGAGATCAAGACTCAGTGCACAGGGCCACGGATGGATCCCAAAATCTGCCCTGCTGACCCAGCCTTCTTCTCCTTCATTAACAACAACGACCTGTGGGTGGCAAACATCGAGACGGGCGAGGAGAGGCGGATGACGTTCTGCCATAAAGGTAACAGAGCTTCCTGCAGCCCCGGAGGGGAATTCCTGCTGAGGATCTGCCTGCAATGCCCACATTCCTGGCTCATTTCTTACAAGTGCATTTGTCTTTGGGTCAGCATTTTCCAAGGAGATGTAAATGCAAAATGCAAATGCTGTCTTGTCTTTGTTCCTCTCCAGGCTTATCCAATGTTCTGGATGACCCCAAGTCTGCTGGTGTAGCCACTTTTGTCATTCAGGAGGAGTTTGATCGGTTCACGGGCTATTGGTGGTGTCCCACGGCTTCCACAGAAGGTCAGTCACTGTTCTGCTCATCAAATCCTGGCCCTGTGACTGCTGCCTCCTGCTAGGAATGAGCTTCTGAGCATGACTTTCCCGTGGCCTAAGTCTGGGCTGTTCCTGGGGAGATCACCTGAAGGAACAAAGCACTGAGGGGATTATATTGTGGAGTGTTTGCAGGTGGTCACTGAGAGCTGGGGCTGGACAGGTGTTCTCTCTGCACCAGTGCTCCAGGCAAGGCAGAAACAGCAGGAAATTCTGTTGCAAACATTGCTGCTCTGTGTCCCAGGTTCAGAGGATTTAAAAACACTGCGGATCTTGTATGAGGAAGTGGATGAGTCAGAGGTGGAGATAATTCATGTTCCTTCACCTGCCTTGGAGGAGAGAAAAACAGATTCCTATCGGTACCCCAGGACAGGTGAGTGAAACACGTGGGGCTGCTGAGGCAGCTCTGGACTCCTGCTGGAACCAGCAGTGGAATTGGGGCTATAAACTTTGCATCATTAATCTGGGCACTTACTGGGCTGTAGGAACTGGTTGTAAATGTAGAGACCTAATTGACTCTCCAATCCCAAAATCTGCTGCAAGAAAGGCTGAACTTTAAATCCCAGCCCTAAATGAAAGGATTGCTGAGGAAGTGAAATATGTCTGGTGGTGTATTGTGGAATATATTCTGAATCCCATCTTTCCTCTCCCTCCTGGGAACATGCACAGCCAGCTAGGGAAGGCAAAGCAAACTGTTTCCATTCCCAGAATGACTCTGGTGTTTGCTCACATGCATATTTGATATTTGTAAATTCACACAGAGCCATTTCAGTAGGACCAGGGGCTGTTCTCCTTTAGAAGCTGTGTTTTGTGTAACCACAGAATGTTCAACTTGATCATCTTGGTGTTTTTTCACTTCTTTTCTGCAGGCAGCAAAAACCCCAAGATTACATTGAAACTGGCAGAATTTAAAACAGACAGCAAGGGTAAGGTAAGTGATAACTCACAAGGGGACATTGCACAGGAGGGCTTTTGAAGCTCCCTAGAATTAAAACAAGGTCACAAAGAAATCCTACATAGTATTAGTCTGGGTTTTTTATTCTCTTGTAATACCTGGTTCTCTAATGCATTTATCCAAGAATTAGAAAGACTTGAAGATGCTGAGAGGAATAATTCTGGAGGAGATTCAGCTGGGAATGTGGAGGGAAAGGGAAAGTGGGGCTTGCTTGGTACAGCATGGCAGAGACAGGAGGGCTGGAGCCAGGTCTAATCCAGGGCTTCAGTCCCTGCCTGTGTCCTTTCCTGTGGCTGAGTGCCAAAATCATTTTGCTTTGAAGCCTGTGTTTCCCTTCTCTTCCTGCCCTTTGTAGCAAGCCTTGCTTCTCCTGGCCTGACCCTTGCTGATGCCAGTAGCTAAATTTCCTTGTTCTGCCATCTCCCTGAGCTTCCCTGGGAGGAGGTGATGAGCTCTGGTGCTCTGATTTGATGTTGGGCCTTGGTTTTGCTGCAGATTGTGTGTGCTCAGGACAAAGAGCTGGTGCAACCCTTTGCTGCCTTGTTCCCCACTGTGGAGTACATTGCCCGTGCTGGATGGACCCGGGATGGCAAATTGTGAGTCCATTTTCCTCCCAAAATAACTCTCCCTAGGGCTCCTCTGGTTGCAGACCCTCGACATGCTTCTGCTGTGTTCATGACCTGGTTTAAAAGCCCCGAGTGCCAGAAATGGCACAAGAATATTTGGTTTCTTCAGTGCTGTAACATCCTAAAAGTAGGAATGAAGCAGAGCAGAGTGACAGGCTGTGGGGTTTATCACAGCCAGAGTTAAATGACATTGATGCATTAAGTGGGCAGTCCTGGGGATTTCTTTGGAGCTGAGGGTGTTTAACACAGGTACAACGTGTTTCCTGCTGAAGATGGGGGTGTTCTGTGGGCAGTTTTATCTTTGTTCAGTGACACAGTTTGTCATCAAAGCCTGAATCACAGGGTAGGGCAGGGTCTGTGGTGCCAGGTCCTTCATGCAGTGTGTCCAAAGGGAAGGACTGCTCTGGGACTGGCTATTGCTCCAAGTGGGATACACTGTCTTGCCTGAAGAGTTACAGAGTGCACCCCAATCTGATTGAAATTTTAAAGTTCTTAAATTTTCCCCCTCCCAAGCTGCTTGGCTGTTAACTGGTGTGTGTGCAGATTAAGAAGGTGACTTGGCTGTCTTTGAAGGTGGCATTCTGTAACTTGTCATTAATTTTCTGCTCTGGAAAGGAAATTTAGAGAGCTTTCCAGCAGGTAATCCCAGAGGTGATTGTGATGTTCTGCACCAGAGCTTATCTAAATGTGCTGAATATCTCAGTTCCTGAAATCCTGCAGCACTGAGGGAGAACTGGCTCTTTTCAAAATCTGTCTTTGATGATGAAACTCCCCGGGATGCACTCGCAGGCCTTGGGGTGGCCGTGCTTTGCCATCTGTCACGCTGAGAGCCTGCAGTGCAGCACCACTTGCAGGGCCTCTCCTTGGAGGGGAGCAAGGCTGGGGCTGAAGCAGCTCCTTCCCCTGGCACTCGTGTTGGGTCTGTGCCTGTCCCTGCCAGAGGAGGAGGAGGAGGAGGAGGCTGCAGACAGAGCTCCTGGAGGGTGATCACTTGAACTGGAGAAGAGCTGGAGCACAGACAGGGCTTCCTGATGGAGGGGTGTCCAAGGAGGAGCTCCCTTCTGGAGACAGGGCTGTGCTAGCAGTGCTCCCTTGGAACAGGCACTGGCAAATCTGTCAGACATCTCCTCTCAGTGATACCCCTGTGAAATACCAGAGCTGTCTGGCAGTACGTGTGTCTTGGCACAGCTTCCAGGGGATTAGAAAGCAGCAGTGATGAGAAAAGCTTTGCATTCAGATGCCCAAATCCTTTCTGGCAGCGGGAGGGAAGAAAGGGGTTGCATGCTCTGAGTGTTGGAAAGGAACCTCTATTCTGTGGTGCTGACGTTCACCTCTGACTTCTTTCCCCAGTGCCTGGGCTATGTTCCTAGACAGACCTCAGCAGCGGCTCCAGCTTGTCCTCCTGCCTCCAGCACTCTTTATTCCAGTCCCAGAAAATGAGGAGCAGCGTGCTGAATTTGCCAAAACTGTGCCAGAAAATGTCCAGCCATTTGTGATCTATGAAGAAACCACTGATGTGTGGATAAATGTAAGGGAGAACACAGGCTGCCCCTTCCTCCCCTCACTCAGCTTGATTGGGTGTCCAGTTAAGTCCTTGCTCAGGGCTTTGCTACTCGGTGCTCCCAAGTTTGGTGTTGAATCTGGGGTTTGATAAAGCAGATCACTCACAGGTTTCTCATCTCGTGTGGCAGGTTCATGACATCTTCTATCCTTTCATCCAGCCGGAGGGGGAGGAGGAAGAGCTCTGCTTTATCCGAGCCAACGAGTGCAAAACGGGGTTCTGTCACCTGTACAGGGTGACAGCAGTCCTGAAGCCAGGCAGCCACGACTGGGTGCAGCCCTGTGTCCACACTGAGGGTAAGGGCTGCAGCCCTGGCAGCTCCCCCTCCTCTTGGCCTGGCTTGTCCTTTGGGGAGACAATGATTGATGCTCGTGGTCTCTCTTGCAGATGATTTCAAATGTCCCATCAAGGAGGAGATTGCCCTGACTGCTGGGGAATGGGAGGTGCTGGCGAGGCATGGCTCCAAGGTAGGGGTTATTTTTATTCTCTTGCAATGTCTCAGCTCTTCACTGTCTGCCCCCAGTCCTGGCCTGAGCCCTCCCTTACGCCTGGGACCTGCTAGAACTGCTTAAGCTTCATTTTGTTGCTGTTTTTATTGCTGCCTCTGCTTTCCCCAGAAGTGCTGTAGGCCAGTGCACATGGATCTGATTGCCTTCTTAATCAGACTTCGGATTGCTCCTTAGGCAAATCCCAGGAGTGGGCCAGACCATAAAAAAGGACACAAGTCTGAGGTTTAAGAGCAACAAAGAACCATTTTGTGGAGAAGCTGGGGATTGCTGCCTTTGCTGAGGCATTTTAACTCCAATGAGTTCTTGCAATGTGGAAATGTGTCCTGGCACTCAGAGTGAACTCTTGGTCTCCAGCTGATCCCTCAGCAGAGCCTTTAGGAAGAAGGCAGCAGGGGAATATAAAGCAATTTAGAATATGGAGAAGCTGTATCTGTTGTCGCTTGCAGAACAGCCAGAAATGAATTTTTATTAATCTTGTAGAAGCCTGGTTTCATTTTTGCGTCAGGAATTAACTCCGAGTCTGATCTTTAACACTCCCAGGTGATTTCTGTCAAAATAAAGACCTTGTCTGTTCATTTCCAATTAATCTGGATTTTCACTTCTCGCTTTTTAAAAGACCAACAGCTCCAAGCTTTTGGTTTCTGCTGCTTTTCCTCAATCTGCAATTAACCTGCTGTCCCTCCCCATGTGGATTCTCACTGTACATGCTGTTGATTTTGGCCACAGCTCTTCCCTGCATGTGTTATGGCTAAAATTGTGTTAGCAGCAATTATTTTGATGCATTTGTTGCTCCACAGGGCTCTGCCTGGTTTTCCTGGCCAATTGAGTTGGATGTGTTTTTCCCTTTGCTGTTCACAGGGGTCTTCAAACTGTGGGTTAGCCAGAAATAGCATTTGGAAACTGTAAGGTGGAAAAACAGTTCAGTTTCTGTTGCTGGATCAATGCAGGATTTAAAAGCTGTCGCCTCTGTTCCTGCCTGACTGGGTGATTTTTAGAAACAGCTTTATCTGAACAGTAAAAAACCTATTTTAATGTCCCAAAGTTTGGTGCTGAGAGCTGTTAGACTAGTCCTCCCACAAATGGGAATTCATTACCATGATGGCTGGAAAAAAGGCACCTGTACCTTTATAATCCAGCCATGCTGGCTGTGGCCAGGTGAGCTGGGCTATTCTCCCAGGTAACAAGGGACAGGAGCAGAGGAAATGGCCTCAGGGTGCACCAGGGGGATTTAGGTGGGAGATGGCTTCACTGGAAAGGTAAATCAGGCACTGGGACAGGCTGACCAGGGCACTGAGGAGTCAGCAGCCCTGGAAGGGTCTAGAAGGGTGTGGATGTGGCACATGGGGATGTGGGTTAGTGGTGAGCTCAGTGCTGCTGGGTTAATATCGGTTCTGGTTCATCTTGGAGGGGTTTTCCCATTTTCTCAATGATTCCATGGTTCTGTAAGATCCCATATAAGCACAGAATGTTCCTTGTTAAGAGGATGGCTTCCTCTGAACCTGCAGGGAACAAAGCCCAGCTTTTTATTTCCATTAATAAGCAAATGCTTTGATCTTTAACAGAAAGGCTGAGGGGCTTCTCTCTGTCACTGCACTGTGTTGTCTGCAGTTCTCCAAGTGCTGTGTGTGTTCTCTGGGCCCTCAACCCCCTGCCCTGAGCAGCCCTGCCCTGGTGTGTGTGTTTTGGGCTGGCAGAGGAGCAGAGCTTGTCCCTGCCTGTCCCTGAGGCCTCTCTCCTGGCACAGATCTGGGTCAATGAGGCCACCAAGCTGGTGTATTTCCAAGGCACGAAGGACACCCCTCTGGAGCACCACCTCTACGTGGTCAGCTATGAATGTCCTGGGGAGATCATGCGCCTCACCACTCCAGGCTTCTCCCACAGCTGCTCCATGAGCCAGGTTTGTTGTTTCTTGGATTCCCATCTCAGACTGCCACGGGTCCTGGCTGGACCTCGTTCCCTGACTCTGCTGTGTTCCCTGGCAGAACTTTGACATGTTCATCAGCCACTACAGCAGTGTGAGCACTCCTCCCTGTGTGCACATCTACAAACTCAGCGGCTCTGACGATGACCCGCTCCACAAGCAGCCCAAGTTTTGGGCCAGCATGATGGAGGCAGCCAGTAAGTCCTGGAGAACATCCCAGGGAGGCCTCTCAGTGAGAGCTCTCCCAGCAGCAGCCCAGAGTGGTGGGGAGGGAAGGGGTCTGGGTACCTCACTCTGAGGGAAGGTGAATTGTGTTTTCTTGTGGGGGAGAAATTTCTCCTGGTCAGCTCACCCTGGAAATGCTTTGTGGGCGTTTGAGGTTCACACATTGAGCAAAAATCCTGCTCAAGGTGTACAGAGCTGACACACCCACAAGGATGTGGCTTTACTGTGGAATCACTGAAGGGTTTAGGTGAGAATGGACAATAAAGTTCATCCTGTTCTCATGCTCTGCAATGGACAGGGACAGACTTCCACTCCCAAGCCCTGTCCAACCTGGCCTCGAACACTTCAGGGTGTTTTTTTATTTGTGATTTGTCTGAAGAGGGAAGGGACAAGTACCTGGGATGCAGTAGCTGCTGCATTCTGCACTGCAGGTTTTAAAAGTTTAGGTAGAGTTCACAGCAGCACCTGAACCCCTACTGCAAACACTTCCTCCCATCCCTGTTCTCACCCTCTCCCACCCTGCCGTTGTGCAGAACTCCCAGCCAGTCAGATTTTCCTGTGGAATCCCCTCCCTGTGCAGGCAGGTGAGGGCTGTGCTTCCCAGGGAGAGGCTTTGCCTTGGTGTGGTTTGTGAAGGAGCCTTGCCCAGGCTCAGGTTTGCACAGAGCTGGTTCAGGGGGGTGGGAGCAGAGCCTGCTCAGTCCCTCAGCACTGTGTGTGCCCCTCCTGCTGCAGGCTGTCCCCCAGACTACGTCCCCCCGGAGATCTTCCACTTCCGCACGCAGTCGGACGTGGAGCTCTACGGAATGGTCTACAAACCCCACGATGTGCAGCCTGGCAAGAAACATCCCACGGTGCTCTTTGTGTATGGAGGCCCTCAGGTAAAAACCCAGGGGAACTGCTGGGGTCAGGGCTGGGGCTGTTGCCCAGGGCAGGGCTCTGTCAGTCACACATCAAGATTTGCACCTTGGGTAGCAAAGAACTGTCATGGAATCGTGAAATGGTTTGGGTCGGAGTGACCTTAAAGCCCATCCAGTCCCGCCCCTTCCACTGTCTTAGGTTGTTCAGAGATCCAACCTGGCCTTGAACACATCCAGGGATGGGGCAGCCACAGCTTCTCTGGGCACCCTGTGCCAGGGCTTCACCACCATTACAGCAAAAATCTTCCTCCTAATATCTAATGTAAATCTAGTCTTTTTGTCCCCGTGTTTGACCTCTGCTTCAAACCTCAGATGGCTTTTCCAGTCTGTGGTTTGATATCTATGGCTCTGATAGCTCAGTGAGTGGCTGCTGTCCAGCTCAGGATCCTTCATTGACACGGGAAGGCACTGGAAGGCAGCAGCTCTGAAACTCTTCCTCCTTGTGCAGGTGCAGCTGGTGAACAACTCCTTCAAAGGCATCAAGTACCTGCGGCTGAACACGTTGGCATCCCTGGGCTATGCTGTGGTGGTGATTGATGGAAGGGGATCATGCCAGAGAGGCCTCAAATTTGAAGGAGCCCTGAAAAACCAAATGGTAACGTCCTCCTTGTGCTGGAAAATCTCTGATCATTTGTCCTTCTTAAGGGTGGTGGCTGCTCATTTCCTGTGTGACTGTTCCTGCTTCAAGTTTCTACATTTACCAAGTTCACTAACATGAGCCTCCTTGTTGCCTTTTAGGGTCAGGTGGAGATAGAGGACCAGGTGGAAGGTTTACATTATGTAGCAGAAAAATACGGGTTCATCGACTTGAGCCGGGTCGCCATCCATGGCTGGTCCTACGGGGGCTTTCTGTCCCTCATGGGGCTCATCTGCAAACCCAACGTCTTCAAGGTGAGCTGGCACCTTTAGGACACGAGGCTCTCGCAGCTTCTGTCCCTCTTGGCAGCTGGAATTGGTGTTCTGGCTTGTTTGTGGTGGACAGGTGCCTGCCTGACTCCAGTCCTGTGTCCTGCAGCTCATCCCTGGCTGGAGCTGGAGGAGTATGGAGCTGGGATGGGCTTGGTCTGCCATACAGGCAGATACTAATGTGCTATTCCCCATCCCAAGTCCCCAGCACAATTTCTGGATCATTCACAAGTCCTCCTTGCAGAGGGGGAGGCCTTTTGTGCAGGAATTTCTCCCACTGTGAACACAAGAGGAATAGCAGGAGGAGGAATCTGGGTTGTGTGTGGGATTGCTGAAGGAGAATCCTGCTCTGAGTGACAGAACAGCCCAGAGCCTGCTTTCTCCTGCCTCTCCAGGAAAGCAGGGAGCACTGGTGGTGCTGAGCAGGCGGTAATGGAGGCTGTGTGGTGGCACCTCTCTGTTTGACAGATTGCCATAGCAGGTGCCCCTGTCACCGTGTGGATGGCTTATGACACCGGCTACACCGAGCGCTACATGGACGTCCCCGAGAACAACCAGCAGGGCTACGAGGCTGGCTCGGTGGCACTGCACGTGGAAAAGCTTCCCAATGAGTGAGTGTCTGCCCCACACCTGCTCCTGGTGCCACCTCTGCCCAGTCTCAAAGGGATGGAGGGGTTCTGATCTGCTCTAGCTCAGCACAGCTGGGCCACAGCACCCCCAGCTCCCCTGCCAGGGAGGGCTTGAGGCCCGTGGCCATGGCCTGGCACTGCTCTTGCTTGGGTTTGGCTTGTCCAGCTGGCATCTCTTTGCTCAAACCCTCTGCAGAGCTTTTATCTGGTGCATCGTCGTGTTTTCCAGCTGGTTTCTCATCCTGTTTCTCTCCTTATCTCTCACCCCATGTCCAGGCCAAATCGTTTGTTGATCCTTCATGGCTTTTTGGATGAAAATGTGCACTTTTTTCACACCAACTTCCTGGTATCGCAGCTAATCCGGGCTGGAAAACCTTACCAGCTGCAGGTAGGATGGCCAGGAGTGGGAAGGGAAGGTCCCATAAATCAGGAGAAGGTTCCCTGCTGTGTGTTCTGGGGATGGGAGGAGATGGAGGCAGACCCCCCACATGATGCTGTGATGCTGGGGACAGTGAACACCTCGCTGGACTCAAGAGGAGGCCGGGAGGTGGCACTGTGGCTGTTCCACGGCTGGCAGATGTGGCATGTGCAGGCAGGGCTGTTGCCCTGGGGCCTGGAACTTTCCTCCTCCAGGAGCTGTTCTGTCCCACTTGGTGGCTGCAGGGAGGGAGGGGGTGCTCCAGACCTTCCCTGGCACTTCCTTGTCCCAGTGGAGACTGGATGGAGGGAGCAGGGCTGAGGGGAGGGAGTTGTGTCCCTGCTGAGTGACCAATGGCCTGTGTCTGCCCTGGCACAGATCTACCCCAACGAGAGACACAGTATTCGGTGCCCTGAGTCAGGAGAGCACTACGAAATCACGCTGCTGCACTTTCTACAAGAATACCTCTGAGAGCACGAGCCTCTGCAAACTGGACACTGACAGCTCACCTGCCCCGTGCCCTCCTGCTCCCCAGCAGCATCCAACCCAGAGCACAAGGGGCTGAGTGCCCACGTCGGGCTGGGGGTACCCCCAGGCCAGGGGGAAAAGCTGGAGGGCACCTTCCCTTTGGACAGTGCCACCTTCTCTCACTTTCCAAGCTGGAGGTCTGCCCCTGCTCAGCTGCTCGTCCTCCTCCTCTCCTCCAGCCTGGCTGTTCAATGCTTTTTTTGCTGCTACTCCCTCTCTCCTGGGAATCAATGGACAGTGGTCTGTGTCCCGAGGCTGAGGTTTGTGTCCATCTCTTTCTCCCCAACCCTTTTCCCCTTCCACTGCACCTGTGCAGTTCCCAAACTCTTACCTGCAAGAACTCAGTGCCTGTGTTGGAAACGGAAGAGCCGAATCAGAAGCTGCCTTAAGCCAGGAGTGCGAGGGAAGAGAGAACTACCTACTGCTCACCTGGGGATCTGCTCTGTGTCCTGGCCCTGCTGCCACACTGGAGCCCTGGGAGCTGAAGAGAGGTCTACAGAAGCATGCAACACTAGTCATTTTTTTATATATATCTCTATTTTGCAGTTTAAATTTGCAGAGCAGATGGAGGAAGTGGCCGGGGCCGGTAACGGCGTCCTCTGATCCTTCCTCTCATGGCCGCTCTCACACAGAGTTGTGCCAACAGGTAGCACTGGCAGCTGGCTACAGCCAGAGCCTCTCTCCAGAGCTCACAGCAGCATTTGGGTTTTTGCAACACAAGATGGATGGTATTTATGCAAATCCTCCCTTCCTCTGTTCTCTGTGCCGCCTCCCGACCCCCCCCCCGGTCCTTGCCCGAGCTTTCCCACGTGCACTGAAATCGGCTGTGCTTCAGTTCTCTGCGGGTCAGTGACTGGTCCCCTTGCCCGTCTACTCAGCAATGCTCTCTCCTGGTTTTTATTTACCTGGGCAACAGGAACTGCAGTTCTGGGGAGGGGGATTGAGCAATCACACCTCAGGGGAGCACATCCCCCCCTCAAGCCAAGGGTTCTGCCAGGGGCAAAACGAAAACACAAACAAAACCCACCCAAATGAACCACGTTGACTTGCCCTGGAGTATTTTAAGTGCGTATTATGAAAAGAAAATATTTTTATGGATTCTTATTCTTTTATAATTATGAGTGTAAGATGTAGCGACTCATTAAAATATTGGAAAGAGACGTGGTGGCTGCTTTGGGGGGCGGGAGGAAGCAGCAGCTGCTGCCACAGCCAGAGCAGCTCTGCTGAAAGCCAAGTGCTCTGTTCTTTCTGTGCCGAGCAGTGGAGAGAATATTAAATCCCTGATGTTCCTCGGGGGAAGCATGATCCAAGCAGCTGAGGGTTGGGAATCCTGGGCTGTGTTGTTGGCTCGGAGTGACCTTGAGCGAGTCAGCACCAGCCTGGGGTGGGCACCTCCCTCCCTCCCATGGGTTCGGGAGGTGCAGCTGCCCTGGGACTCCCGGAGCTGCTCCTGCCGAGCTGGGCCTGCCTCTGCTCGCCCTCCCAGCTCCCAGCTTCCCGAACGTGGCCTTGCTCTGCCTTCCTCCGTGGGAGCTGCTCTTAATTAACCCGCTGTTAATGCCCTGAGGGTGCTGCTGCAGGGTTATTCTAAATGCTAAGCTTCTTCCAGATGGAGCATTTGGGTTCCTGGGGATGGCTGGGAGCAGATTTTGCCCCCTCTTCTTGTCTCTGTGCCCAAATAATTGTCACAATTATTGCAGCTGTGGTTTAGCTGCTACAAAGCACCTCAGGTGTGAGTTTTGAGGTCAGAGGGATGGAGGAGGGACAGGTGGAGGAAGTTGCACCTCTGAGCTGTGTCTGTAAGAGAATCCTGCAGCCAGCAAAGCTGCACCCTCTGTCCCTGTACCCTCACAGGTGGATGGGTACTTCTGGGTGGTAAGAAGCTTTTATTTTTGCAGGGTTTGTTTCTGTGCTTCCCCTAATTTAATTTTTAGGCTTAATTTAAACTGCTTTTTTCCTATCCCCGAAAAGTCAAGTGTTTCTTAAAATGTCTTAAATCAACTCTTGTCTAGAAGAGTTTGCGGATCTGTCTGCTCCTCTGATCCCTCAGCTTGCTGCAGGATTGTTTGGCACCATAAAAAGGGATTGGTCGTCTTCTTTTGGGGATTGAGAATCCCAAGAGGACTGAGCTGGGAACTCTCCGGGGAGCCGGAGCTGTTCCATATGGAACAGGCTCTGTGGGGGATTGAAACACAAATGATGTGGGAGGCCCCACCCCGCTGTCCCGCGGGAAAGGTGATGGGAACAGGGAGCAGGGTGGCTCTGGGTGGAGGATTTGCAGCTGGAGGATGAAGCTGAGCTAATTTCCTGAGTGAGCGGTAATGACAGAGGAAGCAGCAGGTGCTGGGGAAACCAGGCAAAAAACGACTCTTCCTCAAGAATTTGGGGCTTGAGAGTGGCTTGGGAAGCATTTCTCTCCCAAAAGCCACCCTGTGGGGCTTTATTTTTAGGTGGATGGTGTGGAGGGAGAACAGATGTTCTTGAGGACTTATTTTTAAAACAAAATCACTCCTCAAGCTACAGAATTAGCTCAGAAAAGTCACTCCTTGCCCTGAAAGATGCTCGAATGGAAAACTTCCCGGCATCTCCATTCCCAAAGTGGGTGGGATAAAGGTGCAAGGACAGCTCTGGCTCTGGGAAAGTCACGTCAGTGGAAATTCTGGGTGCTTGGGGGGGTCTCAGGCATTTGATCTCTATCCTGGGCCATGCAGGCAGCACCCCCAGAATAACTGAGTAACAAATCCCAGGGTCCCCCAAAGGAGGAGTGAGGTGTCCAAGGAAGGCACAGGGCAGGGCTGGGCTCTGGGTGTGTCTGTGCTGCCCGAAGGGTGTAAATTGATCTTGGAGAATCCTCTCGGAGGGATTTTGGTGAAATCGCAGGCATCCAGGCTCCGTGCTGGACACAGGGATGGCTTCAGGCTTGGCCTCTGCAGAAAAATCTCCTGTCCCTGCTCCTTCCTCCAGCCCCTCTCGGAGCTGGCACAGATTTCTGTGTCTCCCCTCCCCTCTCATCCAGGATTTTCCTGCTCCCAGCCCCTGGCTGCAGCTGGAATTTCCAATTCTACAACTCAGGCACTGACTCCTTTTCGCGGGTGAACTGAGGCAGGGCCATTTCTGCAGGCCTGGGCTACTGAGCCCTTCTGGAGCCCTCAGCCTCAGGGACTCGGTACCACCGCCTGGAAATGGGACCAGGCCCAGCCCTCAGCTCGCCCCGGCTCTGCTCCCCTCAGGCATCTTCACTTGCCCATGTGGCCAGCAGAAACTGAGGCACGCCATGCTGCTCGTGGGCTACAACACGGCCCAGCTGGGCAAGTGCAAAGATCGCTACTGGATCCTGACCACAGGGCCTCTTGTCCCCGCGGTTCCCTGTGCCCTCGTCCCTCTGTCCCTCAGCCTCCTGCCCTGTTGTCCCTTGATGTCCCCACGTCCTCCTGTCCCTCCGCGGGCCCGCCCGGGCTCCTGCCCACACCCAACATGGCCGCCGTGCCGCCGCCGCGCTGACCCCTGCCGGCCGCCATAGCCCGCGCTTCCTTTCCAAGATGGCGGCGCCCAGCGGGAGGAGCTGCCCGTGCGCGTGGGCCGCGCTGGTGCCTGCGGCCCTGCTGTGCCTGGCGGCCCGGGCGGCCGCGGAACCGGGCACGGCCCCAGGAGCGACCTCGAGCACGGCCGAGTTCGACGTGCGGCCCGGCGGGGAGGTTCACTCCTTCTCCCGGAGCCTGGTGAGCGGCCGGGAGGGAGGGAGCGGGAGGGGAGAGAGTACGCGCCACTCGCTGATTGGCTGCGTCTCACGTCACTCATATCTCCTGCTGTGGTGATTGGCTGAACGCGAGGGAAGGCGGGGCGAGCGGGTGGAGGGGATCCCCAGGGAGAGAAGGGTCCCCAAAGGGGGTGACAAAGGCAGGGGGGTCCCAGGGAGAATGGGGTCTCCAAGGCAAGGGGGGGGAATCTAAAGGCAGGGGGGTCCCAGGGGGAAGGGGGGGTCTCCAAGGCAAGGAGGGGGATCTAAAGGCAGGGGGGTCCCAGGGGGAACGGGGGTCTCCAAGGCAAGGGGGGTCCCAAAGGGGGGGCTCTAAATGCAGGAGATCCCAGGGAGAATGGGGGTACTCAAGGAGGGAGGGAGCCTTCACAGAAAAGGGGGTCCTCGAGGGGAAGGAGTCCCCAGGGAGGGTTCTCCAATAGAAGAGGATCGCCAAGGAAAGCAGGTCCCCAAGGTGGGACAGTCTCTGTAGCAAGTAGACATCCAAGAGCACTCCAGGCAGGAGGAAATGGCTTCAGGTGGTGCCAGGGGAGGTTTAGGCTGGATATTGGAGGAAATTCTTCATGAAAAGGGAGGTCAGGCGCTGGCACAGTGGCACTGGTGGAGTCTCCATCCCCGGAGGGATTTAATCCACGTGGATGTGGCACCTGGTCACAGGGGTCAGTGGTGGCCTTGGCAGTGCTGGCACACTGTTGGACTTGATGGTCTTGGAGGGTTTTTCCAAGCTCAGAATTTCCTGGATTGTGTGGAAGAAAAGCTCGTGCTAAAGTGAGGCTGCTCCTGTTCCTCTCTCCTGGCAGGGGGATTACAGCTGCTCCTTCACCTACTCAGCCCAGGGTGGCACAAACGAGGTGAGCTGGGCAAGCCCCGGGAATTCCTGTTGGAATCAGCTCCTTTCCCTCATCCTAAAAGCCAAAGAGACTCGTGACTGTTTTGTGTGAGAGCACAATGGTAACTGTGGCCAGGAGGGAGCACTGGGGGCCACCAGCTCTGCTGGGGGGGTGGGGTTGGGATATTTTGGAGCTCCTGGTGCAGCTGGAAGGGAGGGATTGGCCTGGGAGGGTTTTCCCCACGTTGACTGCGGGTGTTCCCCGTGCAGCAATGGCAGATGAACGTCGGAGTGAGCGAGGACAGCGGGCTCTTCTCCTGCTCCATCTGGAGGTGTGTGCTGAGCAAAGGCACCGCGGGGGTGGCCGTGGGGCAGGGACAAGGACTCTGCTTCCTGCGTGGATTTGCATCTTGCAGGGAGGGTTTTCCTCTCCCAGGGTTGCTGTGGTGCTGGGGGCTTTTGGTGCAGCTGTTGGTTTATGAATTCTGTGTTCCCCTCTCCCCCATTCCTGCACAAAAGCTCCAGGAGATCCAGAGGTGGCTGTGGGGGGAGGGAGGAAGTCAAGAATCCTTCACTCCTCTGCACCTCCGCCCTCTGTGCTGCTGACAAAGGCTCTGCTTTCTTCTTTCAGGCCCCAAGGGAAGTCTTATCTCTTCTTTACCCAGTTTAAAGCTGAAGTGAAAGGAGCCAAGATCGAGCATGCCATGGCTTATGTAAGTCCCAGCTGAGCCCGGGGAAGCAGGAGTGTGGGAGGCTGCTATAAAACATGAATTAGACATGGAAAACATTTATTAGACATCTGTGCCATAAAATGTGCTCCATCGTGTCCCTAATTAGAGGCTGGTGGCAGGCAGGAGAGGGGCTGCAGGTGGGCAGCCTGAGCCTTGCTCCATTGTGTTCCTGCCCTCTCAGGCACTGGGATTTGCTGGGAGGGGGCTCCAAAGGCACCGGGACACAAAGGGAGTCTTGGATTGCCTCAACAAATTGCATGTGACAAAGCAAATCAAACCTCTCCTGGTGTTTTTGTCTGGCTCATTCTTCCATTTCCCAGTTTCCAGGGGTGAGGCTTTCACTCACCCCAAGGACACGAGTCCGTGGTTTAACAGGAGATAGAAAAACAGCCAGAGATTTTCCTTCAGATATCCTTTGTGCACTTAATTCTTTCAGTGCACACAAATCAGGAACTCGTTCATTTTCAGTGTGCTGTTGTTTGGTTGGTTTGAATTGCCTCAGCCTCTTACACCTCCTTCCTTCCTGTTACAGTCTCAGGCTGCTGCGGGTGCCCTGAGCGACATCCCCTTGAAACAGGAAGAGTTTGAGATCACTGAAACAACAGGTCTGTGCCTGAGGGAGCTGTGAGAGAGGGGCTGGGCTGGGGGACAGGCCAGAGACCAGAGTAAACTCAGACAGTGGTGACAGTGCCATGGAGCGGGGGGTACAGTGCCCTCAATCCATTGGATTTTGTGGGTCTCATCCCAGTTAAATTCCGAGGATGAGGGGGGATTTCTCCCTCAGCCTGGCATGTGCAGGAGGGGAAGAGCAGTGCCTGACACCCTGGAAAAGGCCCAGCAGGGCTCTTTTGTTGCTGCTTTTCCATCTGCTGATCCTGGGCTTTTCTCTCTGTCTCTCTGCAGTGTCTCACAGGGAAGGCAAGTTCCGTTTCGAGCTTTCCAAACTCGTGATTGCAGCAAAAACCCCCCGGGACGAGCTGTGACCCTGAGGCCAACCCTGGGCAGGGGGCTTGGCCAGGCCAGCATGGCACTGAAGGATTTCCTGGTCACCTGCAGGGTTTTTCTTTTGGTTGGCCGAACCTTTTATGTTTTCCATACTGAAATGTGCCGGGGGACCAACGTGAGTGGGGCTTGGAGGTGTGAGGACAGGTTTGTTCTGCCTTGTGTCAGAGTAGCACTGAGCTTTGAGCTGGAAAACCCCCAGGAGGCTCCTGAGCCCCCTGTGCCCCTTCGTGCTCGGCTGAGCAGGGCAGAGCTCCCTGCTCAGGGGCTCCTTATCTGCCTGGCTGGAGGAGCAGTGCAGGGAGATAAGTGGCTGGACTTAAGCTGGGCTTGCTAAAGGGAACTTGTTAACTCTGTAGTCTCTGGAGGGGAGATGGGATTTGTCTCTCCAGCAGCAGGAGGAAATCATTAATTCGGGGGAAGGGGGTTGGCCAAAGCTCTGATTCCATGGCCAGTGTGTGGCTGGGGTGGATCCAGGGCTGGGCTGGGATACCTCGGATGGGGGAAGGCAGAGCAGCTTATTCTGACACAATCAGGAATCAATCCAGGCAACACTTCCACGTCTCAGCACAACCACGGGACTATTTTATACCTACAGAAAAGTGATTTTTTTTTCTTAACCAGAGTAATAACAGGGAATGTGCAATTCCTTTCCTGTGTAAATACAGCACAAATAAAGAAATAAAGCATCATGCCCTGGCCTGAAGCTGCTCTACTCTGTCCCTCCTCCCTTCTCCAGCTCCTTTGTTGCTGCTTGGCCAGGAGGAGCTGAGGTGTCCCACGGGAATTTGGGGGCTGCAGAGGGTTCAGGGGGGTCTTGGAGCTGACATGGACACACACCTTGGGAACAGTGAAGAATTTCTGGCTGGGCATCCCTCAGCCCCATCCCACCACATCCAGCACGCTCCTGACAGGAACACAGCAGCCCAGGGGGGACAGGAGTTGTTCTCAAAGGGCCCCTGCCCTCCTGAGGTGGGCTCCTGGTGTTCTCCACACCCCCTTGTGAATGGGCTTTGCCCCCACCCCAAGCTGTGTCACACAGTGATCCCTGACAGCTGCAGCCAGGCCTGTGAAATGGCAGAGATGAGACCTTTGTGCCTTTTATTTCATCTTCTATGGCTGAGAGTTATCAGTGCCAGTGGTGGGAAGGGAGCAGGAGCAGGAGCAGCCGCCCGTGCCTGGAGCCATCCAGGGAACAGGAGGCACAAGAAGGTCACAGAGATAAGGCCAGAGAAGACTCTGTGGTGTTTTGGATGCTAAAAGGGCAATTTCCAGTGCTCAGGGCCCGTGCTGGGAGCAGCTGGAGCATCCCTGCCAGAGCACCCCCTGCTCCCAGAGCTCTGCTTTTGGGCTCCTCCTCAGCAGGGAGGGGGTGTGGAGGTGCAGAGGAGCGCCCAGAGGAGTGTGGGCGTCTGCTGGAAGCAGGATCTCACAAAATCAAGGAATGGTTGGCGTTTGGAAAAGCCTTAAAGCTCATCCAGCCCCACTCTTGCATGGGCAGGGACACCTTCCACTGTCCCAGATTGCTCCAACCCCCAGTGTCCAGCCTGGCTTTGGACACTTCCAGGGATGGGGCACCCTGTACCAGGATCTCCCACCCTCACAAGAAGGAATTCCTTCCCGAAATCCCATCCCTCCCTGCCCTCTGAAAGCCATTTCCCCCTGTCCATGCAAGTCCAAGAGGTGCTGGGGCATTGAGCAGGGACAGCACAGCCAGCAGCAATGCCAGGGGACAGAAAGCACAAGCCCCAGGTCACAGAGAGCCACCAGCACCTGGGGGACAGCAAACCCAGCTGTGCCCAGGGCTCATTTTGTCCCTGTCACCACTGCTGGAACAACCTCACGGAGCTCCCAGGCCACACGGGTGAGTTTATTTAAATAACTCATCAGGGCTACAGAGTTTGCTAAAAACGAACATCACTCAGTCAGGGGCATGGAAAAGGGATGAGATCCCAGAGGAGCTTTGGATCACCACCAGGGACAGCGCTGGAGCTGCCAGGAGGCAGAGCTGCTGGAGGCTGGGGGAGTTGTGGGTTGGGAGAGTTGCTGGGATCCAGGGTAGGAGCAGCTCCCCCCCAGCTCCCTCCCAGCCTCCTCCAGGTGAGGAGGGATCCTCCTGGTCTCAGGACTTGTCTTTGGACGCTAAAGCCCACGCAGCAGCAGATTCCTGCCTGAGGCAGCACAAGTCTGGACCGTGATTTGCTCCCACCACGTTGTGGAGCCGCTGGGAGAAATCCACGGAGTTCCACAATGCTCCAGTTAGGGAGTCTCAGAACTTCCACCCCAACAACATCCCAGCTGCTCAGAGACACCTCAGAGGTGCTTCACACCACGAGTCTTTGGTTCAGTTTCCCGCCAGAGGTTACAACAGAGTTCAAGGCACAGTCCAAACCCTTGGACTCTGAGCTAAAGGCACTTGGTGGGCAAAGGAAATCAAACTGTACAGAGGGGCCCAGGATCCCCTGGTGAGCACAGGGAGGGGTTTGCAGACCCTGGGCAGGGCGGGGAGACAAAGTCAGGAGGTTCAGTCTCTCGGAGAAATGAGGAGAACACAAGTGAGCACTGCAGAGGGGGAGGAGGGAACGGCGAGCCCGGTGAAAAGCTCAAAGCAGACATCACACCCTCGGCCTCACAGGAGGCAGAGTCCAGCTGCCCGAGCCCCTCTGGGCCACCCTTAGATGTTTTCCTCCTCCAGCATCTTATTGACCCCCTCGCAGATCCTCTTGAGGTGGGTGCGGTAGGGCTCGGCCGGGCCGTACAGCGCCGACAGGAACTCGTAGTCCGCAAAGTGGTTGAAGACGTGGTTGATGCGCGAGTGGGACTTGGCCGTCAGGTGCCCGTTGACAGCCTGGTGCAGCAGGTCCCGGCACTCGGTCAGCACGCTGGCCATGACCCTGCGGTCGAAGGTGAAGTCAATCTGGTGGAAGCTGACGGCCGTCATGGCCAGGGTGTGAACTTTCTTACGGAACCTCTCCATGACAAGCAGCTCCTCGGGGCTGAACTGCCCGTTGCGGTAGAGAACCCCCAGCTTCATCACGATCTTGATGAGGTTTTTGATGATTTTCTGCGCCTCTTTGCGGTTGTGGGTGTATTCCTTGGTGGCCCGGTACAGCTCGTCCAGGATCTCGCTGCTGGTGTCGTCGATGAAGGCGTTGGCGATGGTCTTGGTGGCCATTTTGCTCAGGAGCTTCTTCTGGGCCTGCAGGGCCAAGTTCTTGGTGCTGAAGGTGTCCATCTCTGCGGGGGAAGAGGCACACACGGGTCAGTCTCTGCTCTGCAGCCATCCCCATCTCACCTGGGCTGGTGGAGTGTCCCTGGCCATGGCAGGGGGTGGGGCTGGATGAGCTTTAAGGTCCCTTCCCACCCAAACCATTCCAGGATTCTGTGATTCCTCACCTCCCCATGCACATTTTTAGCAGGAGAAAAAGCATCTCCAGGCAATGGCAAGACTGAGGGAGCTCCTGGGTGCCAGGGCAGGTGAGAGCTTGAGGTTTGGTTGGTGGGATCAGTTACAGGGTGTCCCCACCTTCCTTTTCCCAAACTCTGTGGAGAGGTTGCAGAGAGCGAGGTGTCCCTACCTGAGCACCTCCCGTGTCCCTCCATCCCGGTGTCCCTCTGTGCCCGAGCCTCCCTCCTCCCGGCACAGGAAGGACTCTTGCCCCATCCTTTTAACATTTTTTCCTTCCTTAAAACTTGACTCATTTCCTGCAGGGTGAGCTGGGGACAGCCCAGGTGACAGCTGAGTCACCCCCCCCCGATGCCATGTGCCACATCCACGCCGGTGCTGGCCATGGCTGGAGTGGCACAGCCGGTTTGCAGCACCCAGCACTGGCGTGGGAGCCCTTTTCCCTGGCACTGCTCACCCTGCAACACCCACACAAGCTCGGGCTTGTTCTGCTGCTGCCCCGGCCTCCTGTGGAGTGAATAATTCACCCAGACAGGAGCCTCACCTACAGCCCAGCTCCCACATCCCGGCAGGACCAAATCCATCACCTCGGGCAGAGCACGGCTTTCAACCCTGCTGTGAACGATTAAAACCCGACCCTGGAGATGCATCCTGGCCTGGGAAACCGCAGAGCCACAAATCACAGGGAGGGGAGAACAGCAGGAAAACAACCGGGATGGATGGGCAGGGCTGGGAGCTGCTGATGCAGGAGCTGCACATGGCATGGACAGGCTGGCAGGGCAGGAGGGGAGGGGATCAGCCTGTGAATGAATCCCCAGGGAGGGGAGAGGAGATTTCAGCTGAGGGATGGATGGGGATAAATTGCTCACGGATAGGGAACAGGTTTAGATTTGATGTTAGGAAGGAATTTTTTCCCTGACAGGGAGCTGAGGCCCTGGCACAGGGTGCCCAGAGTGGCTGTGGCTGCCCCTGGATCCCTGGAATGTCCAAGCCAGGCTGGGCAGGGCTTGGATAAGCCTGGGCCAGTGGAAGGTGCTGAGCCCCAGCTCCCTGAGCATCTCCCATCTGCTCCCAAACCCAAGGGCAGCCAGGGCTCCGTGGGGATGAGAATTCCGGGAGCAGAAACGGAGCCTGCAAGGTAATTTACAGCCCTCAGGAAAAACACAGAGCATTGGAAGCATTTCCTACAATGGGAAAACATTGATTTTTGTCAGCTTGAGCCTCGAGCTGAGCCTCTCACACTTAATAAGACGAAAATGACAACGCAGAGCTTGGTGACAGCAGCTCCTGGGTCAGGCTGGTGGAATTCCAGTGGCTGCATCCAGAGGAGCTGCCCGGAGGGAGGGAAGGGCAGGATGGGCAGAGGCAGCTCCGTCTGCTCTGCCCTGGCTGAGAGGGGAGGCCTCACTTGAGCCGTGCCAGGAATCCTGTCCGGAAGGAGCAGGGCTTTGCCGTGGTGTTGACAGCCTGGAATTTCCCCCCGCAGGGCTGTGGGGTGCCCTGGGAACGGTGCCTGGATAAATAGGAATTCCCACACCCCAGCTCTGCCTTGGGTGACCACAGACATAAAGCGAGTGCAAACTCCACCTCCAGAGAGCATGAAAAATAGGAAGTGCCAAGTCCTGCGAGCTGCCCACGGCTCCCAAATGCCAGCTGGAATAATGGATCAGCCCTCTGCTCTGCTCTGCTCTGCTCCCTGCATCAAAAACTCCCGGCTGCTCACTGCTCTCCCTGCCTGGAGCATCACTCCGGGGGGAAACTGAGGCACGAAGCATTATGGGGGGGGTCTAGGGATCCCAAAAGTGATGTAGGTGGGGATGGACATCCCAAAATTCCAACCAGCTCCCTCTCCAGTGCCCAGGGATGGTTTTACAGGCTGCTCCCTGCAAGCCCCAAGGAAACCCAGGCTCACCTCCTGCTGGCTCCCGCTGCACCAGGACGGTTCCCCCGGACCCTCCACACCACACCCGGCCCGGCAGGACCTGCTGACTCAGCAGCAGCAGGAGATTTCACCGGAATGAGCCTTTTTCCTGCTGGGAAGGGCCCCACGACCCCATTGTTCACGAGGGGCTGCTATCAGTGCACGGAAGAGTCGAGCCTTGCCCCGAGCAGCCAACTGGAGCCCGAAAATAACCCACTTCACTTCCTTCCTGTCGCTGAAGTTTCCAGCCCAGTTCAGGGTTTGGGCTCCCCCCCCACCCCCTTCTTTTTAATGAAAACGCCCTAAAAAAAACAGCTTCTCCTTCCGAAATGGAGCAGCCGAGCGCCGCTGTCACCAAGGGCCTCCCTGCTCCGGAAGAGTGTGGCAGGGCTGTGGTCCCAACCCTGGTTTTGGGGACAGGTACAGCCCTTCCTTGGAGGGTTTCCACCCCTTCTGGAGGTTTTTGAGGGAGTCTTGCAGCCCTGAGCAGTGGTGTGAGGGCTGAGGTGTCCTGGAGGGGACAGACGTGGTCCCCTGGGGACAGACACGTGCCGTGCCCATCTCCAGTTTGGCGTTTGCCCCACTGGGCTTGTACCTCTCCCAACACTCAGCTCTGACCTGATTTCCCCAAAAAAACCCAAAAACTCTCCCACACCACCAGGGGCACAAGCATCAATGAAAGTTCCTGTCTGAGGGGGGAGGACAAGACCCTGTCACCCTGTGGTCACCTGGCACGGGTGGCACCACAGCAGAGCTCCTTTATGAAGAGGGGCCAAACCCAGCAGTGACATCATCCCAGTTATCATTTTTACCTGTCCCAAAGACCCCTCTCCCTGCCTGTCCCTTCCACCCGCTTCCCACCAGCGGCTCCGTGGGCTCGGCCCCCCAGGCCCCCCCAGTTCCCCTGGCAGCGGGTGAATATTTCATGCAGGAAAGGAAAAGCACCTAAATAATTCATGGAGCAGCACAGAGGGGGAGGCTCCACAAAGCTCCAGCTCAGAGCAGAGGCACCTCTGCCTCCTCTTCCTCCTCCTCTCCCTCCTCCACATTCCCAGCGCGGTCACAGTAACTTGGATTGTCTCGCTACAAGTTTCCTCCAACACGGAAACATCGTTTCCCAACAGGATAAACATGGAATAGCCGCGATGTCCCTGGACTTCCCTCCATCCCACATTCTCCCACTCCAATTCCCACTATTTTGGGAAACATCCCTGCTCTGCACCCCAGCATTCCCGAGCCCGTGGCTAAATGCCAGGCGGGTGGAGGGGATCCCGCTGCTCTGCTCTCCATCCCCCCAGCATCGCTTTCCCCGTGCTCCAACTCCTATTAATTAATTAAACCCTCCTGCATTACAGGAGCGCCGGGCAGTAATTGGAGAGCTCCAGCCCGTTCCAACCCCCCACCCGTGACCCCCGCAGCTCCCAGGGCTCGTTACCAGCTCCGGGAGAGCCGAGGAGGAGGAGCAGGAGGAAGGACGCGTGCCGGCCCTCGCAGGTTGCCATGGGTGCAAAGAGCAGCCGGAGATGCCGGCCCGGGCGCGTGTGTGCCCAGCGGGGCGAGGCCAGGAAGAAGCCGCTGAGTAAACACCTGGCCCGAGGAAAAGCTCCTTTCTCGGGGTGAATCCGCGGCCGTGGCGGCTGGAGAGGGGCCGGGAACGCTGCGGGGCAGCGGCTCCTTCTGCCTTACCCCGCTGGCTCCCGGTGCCCGTGGTGCCAAGCTCTTGGCGTGTCCCCACCATTGGCACCGGGATCTGAGCTCCTCCATCCCAAAATCTCCTTCCCGCAGGTGCCCTCGCTTCGGCTGCAGATGCTCCCGTGGCAAGGAGACGGGTTTTGGTTTTGCCTGGGAATGCTGATCCGCCCTGGCAGCTCCGACGTGTCTGTGCAAGGAGCTGAGCGGAGCTTCCGAGGGGCTCCGGCGGTGCCAACCCCGGGCACGGGTGGGGAACCCTCGCCAGAGCTTCCCGTGGGAATGGGATCCTGAGATCCCATCGAGGGGTGCTCAACACAGGGCAGGGGGAACCTGGGGGCTGAGCTGAGGGTCTGCTGTGGCATCGAGGAATTCCCCCCTGGGATTACTGTGCCCCAAGGGGGGAGGCAGCTGCCAAATGGAGAGGAGGAGGAGGAGGAATTGAGGTTATTTTAAGGAGAGAAGGAGAAGGAAGAGGAGGAGGAGGAAGGGGGGTTATTTTATGGAGAGGAGGAGGAGGAAGAGAAAGTGGACGAGGAAGAAAGGGGGATTTTATGGAGAAAAGGCAGAGGAAGAGGAAGAGGACGAGGAAGGGGGTTATTTTACAGAGAGGAGGAGGAGGAGGAGGAGGAAGGGGGGATTATTTTGGAGCATCTGTCTCGCCTTCCATTTCCTCCTTTTCTTTCTCCAGCTGCCATCAAGCTGCTCTCTCTGGCAGCAACTTCCTTTCTCCTTCGCTCGGAGCAGACGGAGACTTATGGGGAAGTAGAAAACAGAGGCTGGGAGAAGGGAAACTGAGGCCAAGCCACCATCCGTCCGTCTGTCCGGCTGCGGCGGGGGCCAGGGCGCATCACATGCCCCGGGATCAGGAGGACAAAGTCGCTCGGGGGGAGAGGAAAACTCCATGGCACAACTGGGGTCCAATACTGGGCTTGAGGTCAGCGAAGGATGGCCCAAAATGGCCCCAAACCCTCCCCCTCCAGGGGAAGATTAGTCAGAGTTGGGAGGTTTTACACCCAGCTCCTGCCCCGAGATGGATCTGACCTCTCCAAAGGGATTCGTCTTTCCAGGAATCGAGGAATTTCATCCTCTGGAGCGCAGGGCTGGGAGCAGAGACGGGCGATGCTCGAAGCCAAGTGCTGCCATGGGGCACCCGGGCCTGCCCTGGCACGTGGGGCAGTGACAGCCCCGCGGGGGTGGCTCCGGTGCCTCCTCCCAGCTCCCGTTATCCAGCGACCACCGGAGCCAGCGCTCTTTCCAGCCCCGTCGCAGAATTCGGGGGGGAAATCGCCCTTTCCCCGTGTTTTATCCACCTGGGAAGGCTGAGGCACATCCAGGGGCCCTGCCCGCGCCGCAGCTCCCGCCCCTCGCGGCTCCCCAGACTCTCCTTTCCCGGGGGTTGAGTGGGGGCTGTCGGTGCCCGGTGACACCGGGGTTAGGGGACACACACGGATGATTCCCGGGGTGGGGGACGAGAGGCTGCGTCCCGCAGTGCAAGCACGAAACGGGCCGGTACCGAGCGCCCCCGCCCCCACGGACCGGGGAAGCATCGGGAGAACCGGGAGGAACTGGGGGGTACCGGGAGGTACCGGGAAAACCGGCCCTTACCTGCAGCCTGCCTCGGGGAGAGCGGCGCCGGGACCGGGACCGGGGCTGCTCCGGTGCCCCCGGCGGGACGGGACGGGGCGGGACGGGGCTGGACGGGGCGGGGCCGGGCGGAGGGTCCCGCTTCCCCCGGCGCCTCTCCCTGGCCGGCGGGGCCCCGCAGCTGCTACCGGTGCCCGGTGACGATGTCTGGTGCTCGATCTTCGATGCCCAGAGCCAGTCCTGGTGTCCGATGTCCGGTTCCCGGTGCCGGTTCCCGGTGCCGGTTCCCAGCTCTCAGTGCCCAATTTTCAGCTCTCAGTGCCCGGTTCCCGGTTCTCAGTTCCCGGCTCTCAGTGCCCGGTTCCCGGTGCCGATTCCCGGCTCTCAGTGTCCGGTTCCCGGTGCCGGTTCCCGGTGCCGGTTCCCGGTGCCGGTTCCCGGCTCTCAGTGCCCGGTTCCAGTGCCAGTTCCCGGTGCCGGTTCCCGGCTCTCAGTGTCCGGTTCCCGGTGCCGGTTCCCGGTTCTCAGTGCCCGGTTCCGGTGCCGGTTCCCGGCGGGTCGGGGCCTCCCGCCCGCGGCCGCTGCCAAGTCCCGCGCGGGGCCGGGAACAGCGGGGGCGGGGCCAGGGGCGGGGCCCACTGGAGGCCTCAGCCAATGGAAACGCGGGGCTTGCTACGAAGCAGCCAATGGGAGCGCGCGGACGGGGCGTGGGCGGGGCGGGCGCGTCCCCGTGGGTCCCGCGCGCGTGGGCCGGTCCCGGGGACGCGCGTGGGGCGGGCACGGGGCCCCCCGGCCTGAACCGGGGAGGGACGAGACACGGGAGGGTGATGGGGACACTGGTGGGTGACAGTGACACTGGTAGGTGACGGGGACAAGGGAAGCTGACGGGGACACCAGTGGGTGAGGGCGACACGGGAGGGTGACAGGGACACGGGAGAGTGACGGGGACACGCTGGGTGAGAGGATCACGCGTGGAAGCGGCGCGGGACGCCGGGCGGGCGGCGCTGAGGAGCAGGAGCTGAGGAGGGCGCTGCTGGACCGGGCTGAGCGCGGGGTCCCGCACAGCTCCCCCCACTCTGCGCCAGGGGATGTGACACCCGTGGGAAGAGGGGGAGGCGCGGGAGCTGCTCCCGACAGCAGCGCGTGCGGGAGTGTCGAGGCCTGGGCAGCTCATCCCGGTGCTGGGGACCCCCCGACACCCCAGAGATTCTGAGCTCCCCAGCATCTGGAGTGTCGGAGCATCCTTCCTTCCTCTTCCTCCTCACGGCTCAGTGGGTAGAAGAGGCAGCACGGGATCCTAATTCCCAAAGGTGGCATTAAACAGATTAAAAATGTGATTTAAAGCGGATTAAAATCTGGATTAACGGGAGCCTTGACTTGAGTCTTGGTGTCATGCAGCGGCTGGGAAGCCAGATCCTCGCCAGCCCCCCGGCCCTGCTGCCCCCCCGGCCCACGGCACCCCCGGGGCATCGCCCCCACTCCCGATATTCCCGGGGATTTGCTCTGGTCCAGGCCGTGCCGGAGCTGCTGCTGCCGCCCTTCCGAATTGTGGCACCGACCCTCCCGGCATCAGTCACCCTCCGGGCTCTCCGGTGGCCACCATCCCACGCTCCCATCGCCGGGACATCCCCGCAGCTCCTTCCCGTCGCTCAGGCCGCTTTTGGGGTGTTTGGGAGGGTGACGGGATGGGGTGGGCAGCACCCTGCGCCCTCCAGGGCGTGCCCAACACCCAGATCCCGCAATTCCCAGCTCAGGAGGGATCTCGGGGTGTCCCCAAGCCTTGCAGGGCTCTGCTCCTCACTCCTGGAGCAGCGGCCGGTGCTGCTCGGCTGGGGTCACACGGGGGGAGTCCCCCCAAATCCATGTCCCTGCCTGGGGGGCGCTGCCGGGGGATGGAGCAGCCGCTGCTGATGGATCGGAGGGGATGGGA